CACACACACACACACACACACACACACAGAGGGCTCTCTAGAGAGCTGTCCTCAACCCTCACTTCGGGCCCAGAATTCCAAGGCTCCAGTCCAGCCCCCAATAATCCAAGTCCTACCCATCTATGCAAAGCTCAGGGGTGCCTCTGGCATGTGGGAGCCTCATAGTGCCATGCCCTGTCCCCTCATTCCAGAGGCTTTCCTTGGCTGAGGGGCCGGGGGACAGCAGGGAAGGCCCAGCCTGAACCACAGTAACATGGAAACCCTCAGGGAAATTCACACTCAGTTGCCTGCCTGCCAAGGACAACATTCATATAGGCGCACTGACACACATGTGTGCACGCCGACTCGTGTGGACACAGCCCATACTCACCCTGATACGTAGGTACACACTTGTCACAGGCGTTCAAACCAGAGCGACTGCATGTTGAGTGAGGGCTGGGAACAGGAGGCTGGGGCTTAACGGGCTGCCTTCCCCAAAAGTCAGGTATTCCCAGCTTCTAGATGTTTACAGTCAAGGGAACAAATTAATATTGTTTACTACAACAGACCCAGACTTGGGAGTGTCCAGATACCCCATATCTGGAGAACAAAGGCAATCGTAATTTTGCTTTAAAGATAATAATATTGATTCTTGCAAAATATAGCAATTAAGAAAACTAATCCTTCATCACAAACCCTCGTAGGAGAGCCAATCCTCCATGTACGTGAGCATCGTGCCTGGGGTGGACGTGTCCTCCTCGTTTGGGAAGGTCCTGCTTTGTCTACGGAGTAGCTGTCCTTTCTTTCTTTTTACTTTCTCTTTTCTTTTCTTTTTTTGAGACGGAGTTTCACTCATGTTACCCAGGCTGGAGTGCAGTGGCATGATCTCGGCTCACCGCAACCTCCACCTCCCGGGTTCCAGCAATTCTCCTGCCTCAGCCTCCCGAGTAGCTGGGACTACAGGCACGCGCCACCATGCCCAGCTAATTTTGTATTTTTAGTAGAGACGGGGTTTCTCCATATTGGTCAGGCTGGTCCTGAACTCCCAACCTCAGGGGATCCGCCCACCTCGGCCTCCCAAAGTGCTGGGACTACAGGCGCGAGCCACCGCGCCGGCCAGATTTGTTGTTGTTGTTGTTTGTTTTTTGGTTTTTTTCTTTTTTTTTTTTTTTTTTTTTTTTTTTTTTTTT